ATTCATCGATGTAATCATAAAATGTCTTGATCTAAAAAATCTAATATATACAAATTTCGCGGACATACTGAGTTATTTACATTTATGTTGTTGCAAATTGCTTTATTTTATTAAATATGTCAAGTTTAATACAAATATATAATGGAGTATGCTAAATTGTTTAATTATTAAAAAATACGATTGATGTTTATAAAAAAAACGGAGAATAAAAAAGGACCGATTTTGGTTCCCAAAAGGTGTAAGTAAAAACACTAGTGTTTTTTTTATAGATTTTGATCTCCTGAATACGATAGAACTATTAAAAAGTTCGTAGCGCTTGGGGAACATCTTGAAAATTGAGCAAAATACAGTATATTTACTAAATAAGCTGTGTTTATGCTCAATTTTCAAGGAGTTCCCCAAGCGCTACGAACTTTTTAATAGTCCTATCGTATTCAGGAGATCAAAATCTATAAAAAACACTACTGTTTTTACTTACATCTATGGGGACACCAAAATCGCTCCTTTTTTAACATCTTCCTTTATATGTGAAACTATTTAATCTATCTAAAGTATCGTAAACAGCACATCCTTTCTTAGCATCAAAAATTATAAAATATTATTTAAATTTATTTTTTAGGAATCCAAGATTACTTGCAAAAGGTTGAGACTCATAGATATAACTCCAAATGTTATTACGAAGAACAGCATTATCTCAAAATTGGATACCAACAATTCAGACAATCTTTAAACATAAATAAATATTAATATATAAATTATATGTATGTATAATTTTTGCATACTAACCTCATAGCTTGTCGATGAATATCTATAGCATAAAATATTTCTTCGAATACAAATTTTTCGTTTTTCAGCATATTAAATCTCATTGCGCGATTAATACGATAACTATAAAGAATGTACATACGATTATTAATTATTTTTCAGAATGAAAATTTATTTTTAGAAAGCTAAAGAAATATTTGTTTATCAAATAGATATTTTTTTAGCTTTCTAAAAATAAATTTTATTGTTGGATATTTATCCAATATTTATACAATTTTGTTTATAATTAGAATTTTTGCGAGAGGCCTTCTCTGTGTTCGTTTTGTACCATGAGATGCTAAGCATTCCGCAGGTATGTTGAAGATATGCTATAAGCATCGTTCCTATTGCTACCATCGCAGTTACTCCTATGCAAAAGGTTGTATATGTGTACAAAAGAATTAAACAGAAATGTTTTTCTTGATTGATAAAATATTCCATTGTAATAGGTAAATAACGAGATTGAGATATGTTTCTCGATAAAATAACGCCGGCGATACTTGACCAAAATTGAATGACAATGAAAGCAGATGTGCAACAGGCGGTTAGTACTACAAAGAGTTAGAAAGAAATTGTTATACAAATTTCTGCGTACAAAAATATTCAATTGCTTTTCGTTATATGTGTTAAATAGAAACTGTACTGTATTATAGTAAAAAGTAAAAAATTTATCTTACTTGTAAGGATAACTGTATACAATTTTGCATTGTA